CTCAGCTAAGTCATCTAAATATCCACATACCAAACATCAGACTCAGGTTACTGATTAGCTTGAACAACCATTAACAAAGTTTCCACTTCCTTCTTTTCAGCAAAATTAGATTGCATTTCCTTTTCTTTAGGCAGCCTAGTATTACAATCAGAACGATAATATCCAAATTTATGACATCTATAGCACTCTACTTTGGATTTGTCAAATTGTTGATCTTGTCCTCTGTCTTTGCCCTGAAATTGATCATCATTGGCTTTGAAATACTTGCTGCCATCTATATTGCTTCGATCTCCCATTCCTCTACCTCTATAATTTGAGAACTGAGTAAAGGTAGAAGCTTTTAGAGCTTGCTCATCTGCATTTGAACTTCATATCATCTTTTGTTCATGGACCACTAGGGAGCTCTGGAGTTCATCAAGTGAGAGTTCATCTATATCCTTGGATTCTTCAATTAAGCACACAACATAATCATACTTTGGTGATAAGGAATGCAATATCTTCTCAACAATGGCAACACCATCCATTTTCTCACCATGAAATTACATTTTGTTTGCAATCCCCATAGTTCTTGCACAATAGCTGGTAACAGATTCTACATCTCTCATTTGTAGAGTCTTAAAATACCTTTTCACGGCTTGAAGCTGTGCACGCTTCACTCTTGACGAGCCTTGATATTTTTTCTTCAGACTTAGAGTTTATAGGAACCTTCAATCTTTGCTAAGAATTGTCTCTAGGATATTTCGATCAATGGCTTGGAACAAGTAATTCTTTGCCTTCAAATCCTTTAGCTTCTTCCCTTCCAACTCTGTTTTTTGAGTATCTGTTAAGGCTACACGAGCTCCTTGTTCTCCAATTCCAGATTCAATTGCATGCCAATATTCTTTGGACCGTAGGAAATTCTACATTAGCATGCTCCAATGGTCATAGTGAACATCGAAACGAGGAATTGCTGCCTGCACAAAATTTGTCTCTGAAGCCATCATTTCACTGCTTCTGCAAAAGAAAAACCAAATGAGAAAATAAAGCTACTGCTTTTTTTGGACTGTTTGGGGACTCTCACACTTTTCTCTCCTAAACCTGGCTCTGATACCATTGATACAAAAGAAAAGAAAACGTATGCAGTTTGTGAAGCTCTGTATTATTCATTGAATAAAATAATAGCCCATAAATAGGCAGTACATATAGAAGGAAAAAACAACTAAGTCTACCACACTAAGGCACTAACCTCAACTCCCATAAACTAGGCAAAGAAAAAACAACTTTCTTGTAACTACTAAACAAAAGACTAAGGACTCGGTCAAGTAACAACCTGCCAAAACAAATAATAGAGCTTCCAAATAATAAGTGAATAATATTAAAATAAGTCTCTAACAAAAATTGCATCGTTGCGAGCGCCGCCGCCATGCCCATCACGATGCATCGCCCACCGGTCTATGAGCAGCGCTGATCTGAGATCTCAAAGCAGCACGTTCTAAGAAGCGTCGATAGGTTCAGATGGCGCGGTGCTATGGAGGTGGTTTTGAGATTGTTGTGGTTGTGGTGCGGTGTTGATGTGGTAGTATGATTTTTGCATTGTTGTGGTGTGTGATGGTTGCGATTAGTGTTGTTCTTATGGTGTGTTGGTGGCGATCGTGGCGATGATGCGGTGGTCGTGGGTAGGGATGTGATGAGATGAGGGTGTCTGTGATTGATTGTGACAAATAAATTAGTTAATTTGTGATCAATAAATAATATGTGACCTAAAAAATATGATTGTGACCCACAATTTATTAAATTGTGACTGAGAAATAATTTGTAAACAACTAATTAGATCATTTGTGATTTTTAAATAAATTATCTTATAAAATTTGTGATTTGTGATCGATGATGAATAAATTGTGATCAATTAATTCGATAATTTGCGACCAAATTGTATAGAATTGTGACGTTAATATATTTATAATTAATTATTTCATAAATAAAATTTAATTAATATCTGATTTTTAAAGTTTTAAACATTATTCCTTAATTTTGAAATGGATCATAAATGATCTAAGATTTTTAGATATGAAATTTTCCCAATGAAAATTGATAGGAAGTTAGTTTTTTAGTTTTATTTATTTATTTATTTTCACATGAGCCTGGTTGGCTAAGTTCATGCTCTAATAAAAGGAAGTTAGTAGCTAAAAAAGCCCGAGTCCAAATTTAACTTGAAGAAGCTCAATGATGGATAGACAGACAGATCGTGAAGAAACTAGGACAGCAAAAACTTAGGATTACATGAGTTACAGAAAATCTAATTTTTTTTTCTAATTGCAGAAGGAAATTCGACATGTTATGTTGCTGTTGATCAGCTATACAGAAGCATGTAGAACGAAATCCTAAAGGATCCGACAAGAAAATCCTTGGATTCAACCTAACTAATGTATTCTGCCCTAACTAGATTGTTACAACATCAAGAATCAACATCTAACCCCATAAAGATTAAAAAGAATATACATACATACATATGTATATGATGCTGTTATCATTCTTCTTCATCATAATCTTCCTCTTCCTCGTCTATCGTCCCATTCAAATTAGCAAATTGAGTAGGAGCACCGGCTATCCTCTGCATGTCGTCAAGGGACCAACCCGGTATATCTTCATGCTTCATTTCAGGACTTGGCTTTGTTGCAGAATCAGATGGGGCTCCACTTAATATCGAGGTGGAATCCCCATTCTCATTCAAGTCTATATTGAGATCAAAATTTCTGACCGAGTTATCTGCATCCTTCTCACCGGCAATTTTTGAGTCTGCAGAACCTGCAACATCTTCCAGCCTTTCCAAATTTACTACTGGTTTCTCATCATTCTGGGACAAATCGGGATCTTCTTCAAACTTTTCATACCGATTAACTGATTCTCTATCTACTGTTCGACTAACTCTACCACGACCTCTACCTCTACCTCTACCTCTACCCCTTCCCCTACCCCTACCTCTCCCACTGCTGCTGGAGTGGCCAGTCTCGTGCTACAATAAAGAAAACATCCATCAGAATTAAGCAACAATAGTAACCTCTCTACATTCATTGTTTTTCTTCTTTTTATTTTTATTTTTATTGTTTGGGCGGGGGATATGAAGTCAAGAGGAACAAACATTAATTTTATGTTTCCAAGAAACAATTACCAAGTTCCAATGTTATAAGTGAAAACACAACCAAAAATTACAGTGATTAATTTCTCAAAAGTTATAAATGCCCTACCAGAAAATCAAAATTGATATATTTCAAACCTGCTAAGATATCATCTCTATCTTAACAATCGTAATTGCCAGAGAATTTTTTAGTAATCTCTACAATTCAAGAACCTAAATGAACAGTGTAGAATATTTTCTCTTCTTTAGCACAAACTCCAAATGAAAAGTTAAAAATATAAGATTAAAAGGGTGTTTGAAACCCATTAATTTTTTTTAAATTTTTCTCTTTCTTAATTATAACTACACATTCTCCAAATAAAATAATATTACACACAAATCTAAAACTTTTCATTACTTTTAAACCACACATTCTTCCATCAATCACTATTCCAAAATTTATAATTTCCCAAAAATGGGTGCCAAACACATGCTAAGACTCCGACAAGGATCTCATTTGAGTGAGCTCCAATGCAAAACTTTGTTTATTACCACACATTCTCCAAATAAAATAATATTACACACAAATCTAAAACTTTTCATTACTTTTCAACCACACATTCTTCCATCAATCACTATTCCAAAATTTATAATTTCCCAAAAATGGGTGCCAAACACATGCTAAAAGTAGACAGTGGTGTCAAATTGAAGAATAAAACCTAAAAGCTTCGTATATTTTTCTGTTTTTGGTTACCGAAATTATATATTTTTGCAACAAATTTTGAATGGGAAGCAAATCATACTATTAGACGTCAAAATTCAAGATATATCATTATCAAAAATTAGCTTACCACACTAACCCTTTTTGACTCATCGTCATTGCCATCTTCTTCATCTTCTAAGATTTTCCTGTATGAGAAAAATACAAGCAATTTTAATCTCAATTTTCAAATATCATAACAAATAAGAAAGCAAGAATCTTATAGCTTCACAAACCTTCTTTTAGCAGCAGATCTATCCTCAGCAGCAACAGCATCTGAACCACCTAAATCAGGAACCCTGCTGACAGTGTCCTTTAAAAAATCGAACACATTAAAGCTCTGCACACATTGCTTCCTGAGAAAAACAAGGATATAGTTAAATGATCGTGAATACGTACAATGTATCTCCAAGCCACATCAAAAGACGAACTTTCAGAAGAACTTACAAGTGTAAAGAATTCACAGTTTTTGCCCCCTTTTTTAGGGTAATCTCATAAGTCCGGTCACAAAGATCTTGCAGAAATAGTTCGAGGGCCTTAGCTGCATATAACCACAAGAAAGTTATAAAACAGCAAAACTAACAAATCCTGAAAAAAGAATGAAAGACAACAACAATACAACATGACCAATTCCGTGATTTAACATCTCCAAACAATTCGAAAAAAGAAACACAATTGGATTATTGGAATTACATACAGACTAAGAGTGGTACAGCCATAGCAATCTTCCCTATGTCCTCATCAGCTTGCATAATCTTCTTTATACGAGCCTGCAAAATGAAGTTTCAATGAGATAACTGGACAAAACAATTCATCTAGTGGTAGTCACTTATATAATATCTAGTTTCCTAATTTCTCAACTGGCGTAGAATTTATCGCCATAGTAATAGATTGAAAACAGTAAGAAATTTGAAATCTGGACAGTAAAATCGCCCTCGCAAACTGTGACGTAAGTTTAATGGCATGTCTATCTAGAAAAACTACTGTCTCCACCTTTTGTAAAACATGTTGAAAGCTTATTGCTGTGGAGGTTTAGTTTTACGGTCTTCAATGGACAGGAAATAGTGCAGATTAACACACCATCAGACAAAAAATAACAGCAAACTTAAAAACAAAAAATATAGCAAATCGCATAACTTGGTCATATTTGCCTTGGAGTGAACTGACAGATTACGCTGACATGAATAATCAATTAAAAACTGATTGGAAAAATACAAATTTAAATGAACTTCTTTTAGATATTCACTAAGCATTCAATTTTCTTTTCCTCCCCGCTTTCTCCTTGAGCTGAAGACCTACGCTTTCCCTAACTATGCAAAGACTATTAATCATTAGTAAAAATATGAACGCACAAATCAGCCTCCACTTCATGAAGGTTCTGATAGAAGGCTTAGGCACTTTACTGTAAATTACTGCTTTCTAACCTACACAAACACGTCCTTTTCTTAAAAATTAAAAGGAAAAAAAGCATTTCAGCATAAACTTAAATTCATTAGATTTCTTTTGTCAAACTAATTAACCTACATAAAGAGACATACGACTCTATTAATCTTCAAAACCAAAATCAATTTCATTGGTTTTCAACTGCTTACCCAATAAGAAGAACAAACGACTCAATTAGTCTTCATAACCAAAATTAATACTTACATACACATATAGAAGAGAAGACTTACGGCTGGAAAACGAGTATCAAGCTTCTTTCTCATGGCGTCAAGCTATCAAACAACTCCAATTCCTCAAATTCTCAAACAAAGCGTCGCAATGAAAATAATTCCACTTTTTTGCACGCAGAAAATTCGAAATCGTTACGTTACGTCTTTGAATTTAGATTATGATTTTTCATTAAAAAAAAAAAGGTAAAAAGGGATCATATATTCGGAAGAGATATTCGGTATTATCGGAGCCTCCACCCATGATTTTCTTACCCGACGTTTTACACAGTCCAACTTTGACTTCTTCCCCGTTTTTCACTTTTTTTTCTAATTTTAAAATCTGGAACTGTTAGGGTTACGTAAGGTGGCTAGTCTACCAGTTGGTTGCAGCCACGTAGAATAAAGCTTTGAAATAGATAAAATTAGAGGAGTTCTCAGCCAAATTGATCTCAATTTTGGTTTTGTACCTAATACATTTTTTGAATTTAACACTAAACACCATTAAGTATATATCATTCAAATTAGTTTCCATCTTATTCTTCCTGCTAATAAGATAATTAAGAGGAAAATGCTACTTGTACATTAGAGGGTACATAAGGGGTGTCCATAATGGACACCCGGCACCTCCCCATTGGATGAAATGCCGACCCACCTGTACTTCATCCAATGGGGAGGTGCCGGGTATCCATTATGGACACCCTTATGTACACCCCAATATACTTGTAGCACCAAAAATATATATACGACTTTTATATGGTGTCTACACACAGTACCATCGCTAATGCATAGAGAATAATTTATGACACGTCTTTGTGGTGGCCACATGAATTCTCTCCCTCTCTCGTTTCCAGCATGATTGTATTCGACCTTTTACTAATCTATGCTAACATTGGTTTCTTATCGTTTCATCTACAGTTGTCTTCGTAATAACTTTATATTTTTTCGAACAGTAAAAACAAGAATCCCCAACTAATCGGATCTACTTCTTTGGCCATTAAAATAATGTTCGATACATTTGCTTGGGAATGTCGGTTCAAAATTTCTTTCAATAATTTTCATGTCGTTAAGGCGGAGAATTGAATTACAATCTGTGACCCATGATTTTATTTTATAATCTTCCACACTGTATAAATAAGCACAATAATGGACAATTGTGATGAATTACAAGAAGACGTTTTGATGCATTTCAAAAAGACAGACTATTCAATAGACTCTGAAAACTCCATTGATGACGAAGAAGCAGCATCCATAGATACTTCTGTATAACATTGATTTTCTGCACGAGAGATGAAGCTGGCTTCTGCATTCATAACGTATTAAAATGTCAAAGAAAGCACAAGGAGCAAACGTGCAGTGTCATTCCACGAGAGCAGAGTATAGAAGCCTGATATCATTCGACCAACAGATGAGATCCGTTTATAATACCGAGTGCAGTTGTTTTCACTATCGTAAACCTGTAATGGCTAGCAACTAGTTTGAGTTTGTCGAGGATCACGCCCAAGGACTTTGTTCATGTTTGGTACTAGGTTGTCTATTGTTTTCTCTCCTTACCAAACTTTCTACAAGTAGATTAACCCCATACTAATTAATTAAACCCAATTATGAACATAAAGTCCCTATTTGGGTAATCTGGTTTCACCCGATGCGAATTGATCACACGAGAGTAATTTGAGGTTTACCTGATAAGAACATGTCTTTGTACTCATCATCATCGCAAACTAATTGAGGGGGAACTGCAGAACCCACCCCGACTATAGTGCTTCCGCTACATCATAATATGAATAAACACTTTGAGTTGTAATCCTAAAATGAACGCAAAAAATGTAGCAATGGAAAGCAAAGTTAAACTTGCGTATAATTGAGATACTGAATACATAGATAACTATAATGACAAGCTATCCAATAATGCGTACCAATTATGCCTTATAGTTTATTGTGCATGTATTCTAAGAAAACGTATATCATTTATTTGAGCTGCGTCTTACAGTGAAATACCAGATCAAATTAGAATTTGTTCAATACGACCTGGAAATGCTAATTATGGTTCTAGTATTTATTCAAGACTTTGAAAATCATAAAAAATAGGGCGAGGCAAAAATATAACTTTCTTTTTCGTAGAAGTCGATATGTAATAGCATATCATATTATCTGCAAGTTGAAATAATATAATTGATATGTCATATTCAATTTTCTGCTGAGGATCACTAAAATTCCAGGTCTAAGTTGACATATTATTGAAATTGTAAGTACAATAAATTTTCAGTACACATAATATTCATCCAAACTACCAACTTAAAAACATAAATTTTGAATTTTCAGATACCCAAAAATGGTAGTTAAATGTACCTCCTGGACATGAAAATGGCATCGTACTATCCTCAACCTGCGGCAACTAAGCACTGTTTTAGAGCTTGTTTGGGAGAGATTTTTGGGTAAGAATTGATTTTGAATAGTGATATGATGGGAAATGTGTGGTTGAAAAAGAAGAAAAAATTATTGATGTGATGGAAAATATTATTTTATCGAAGAATGTGTGGTTGAAAATGAGAATTGATTTACTGTAGAANGGTTGAAAATGAGAATTGATTTACTGTAGAAAAATTTAATCCCTCCCAAATATGGCCTTAATCTATTTAGTGATGGAAGGACTTCAAAAGCAGGAGGCTCTGCAACATAGACATAAAAGGTGTTTAAGTTATGATAATTAATTACACCACAAAAAGAGTGCAAAACCACTCAAGCTAAAAACATCACCCCCTATCTATCCGATGTAATAAAAAAGATGCATGCGTGTAAAGAGTGTTTCATGTTTACGTACCTAAATCGTTGATGCAAACATCTTGAGATATTCCGTTCCTCGATATCTTCTCTAGCAATGTCAAAGGATCCACCTTGCTTGTTCCATCCAATGTGAGACGCTGAGAAATCAAAACTCGTTATCTAAAGAATTAGATTCTAAAATTAATAATTGATTAATTTAAAATAATCCATTTAACTATAATATCTATTACCTTCTATACTTCAGCAGTGGAACATGCCTCTTGAGGCTTTATGAGAACCAATGGAAGGTTGAACAGTAGAGGTTTCGGAATGTCTTCAACAATCTGAACAATTTAGCATGAGAAACTTAGGCCCTGTTTGGTACACATTATTTTTTTCATTCTCATTATTCTACTCATTTTCAACCATACATTCTTCAATAAAATAATATTTTCCATTGCATTAATAACTTTTTTTTCATTTTTAACCACACATTCTCCATCAATCTTATACATTCTTTCAAAAGAATGTGTCTCAAACACACTCTTAATATTTTTTGGGAACTAAATTAATTTAGAAGATTGACAATAAACTAGACGTGTGAGGATAACATCATCTCGTACTGGATAGTGGATACAATAACTTAATCAATGGCCACTCAGTTTTTTATAAAATCGGATAAACTATTTTTGCTCGTCCAGCATATATTGCTGGGAGATTCACTTTTTAATGGACTAACAAGCTGATGGATAAGTTTATCTCGACTGGGAGAACGTCATGTTCAACAGTTTAAATTCTTTTAAAGTAGTAAAATAAGATTTTTATGCAAGAGCAGTTTCACTAGATCCTTTGCTGTCAGCATGTTTGGCCGAAGTTCAACTTACTTTTAAGCAACTTTACATGATCAGATAAGTTACTGTTTTTTACTTATAATTAAAAAGTCACTTACTTTGGCATTAAGATAGGAACTACTCTCAAAAGAAATAACTTGCATGTTTCAAGCTTTGAATCGCAAAACAGTTGTTTATTCTGACGCTTTTTATGGAATAGCGATTCGAAACGTTCAGAATGAAGCTGTCATAAAATTTACTCATGAATAAATTATTTAACCTTGACCAAACATGCACTATAAGAAAGCTGAAAGGCGAGGTCTGACTGATCACCATCAATGAATGAACTCTGCTTGTTGTACAGAAGCAGAATGGCCAGAACACTCGCAACAGAAGGGGGGGGTTATTTTTTTCAATATTTTACTCACATGGAGCCCACCCCTTGTGAGTTTTCTGGCCAATTTCTGTGGAATATAATTCTGTACAAACAGAATTATTCTCAATGAAAAAGACGTACCTCACCTCGACCCGTAAAGTAGGCAGCTCCATGAGAGAAAAAGAATGGGATATCTGACCCAATCTCGCCCGACCATTCTTGGAGTTCCTTTTCAGTGGCAAGTGCAACACAGCCGCTAAACTGATTTGCAGCCCACAAAGCAGTGGCAGCATTACTGCTACCTTCGCCAAGTCCTGCCCCAGTTGGCACCTTCTTGTCAAGATGAATCTGCCCATGGAAAATAGTCGAGAACAGAATCAGAAGCATACTCCGACTAAGATGTAAAAAACAGTAATATCTGTCTCTGAAAATCGAAGACGTTACCCAAAAGTAGTTGTCGGTCCCTGTCGTTTTCCTAAAAAGATTGAGGGCATAAAAATCCTCCTGTCTTTACCAGATTTCTATCATCGAGGGGAACTCCAGGAACATTTGTTGATAAACGATCACTCGATGTTGACGGGGAAAAAGAGAACTTTATTTTATCATTTAGACTAATTACCTGAAAGGACAAGAGGGCTTAATTATTATGCCATCAGGAATAGATCCAACAAAAACTTTTTATTAGTAAATGACAGGTATTTACATGAAAGAGCGAAGCCAAATCATGATATCCATCTTCCCTTTTGCCCGTTATTCTCAAGAATACATTAATCTGCACTTGAAATACATCAAATTTACAAGGTGTAATGTGTAATTAACCTTCTTATCATATTTAATTACCTTACCTTGCAAGAAGAAAAAAGAGTTGAGTCTTGACATCCCAGAATTCTTATCCACTTCATCGGCTAACTTATCAAACTTGTCGTCGAGGTCGTACACTACCTTTACACCCCATCACAAACATCAAAATTCACATACAAAAAAGTTTGAAATCTTCACCTTCAATTATAAGTAGAAATTCGACTTCAAATAAACCACAAACTTCATCGTTCAATAATAAGTTAGAATCTTTCCATCCAAATAGTAAG